ATATATTCATCTCCCCACCCGTGACCGATACGAAAATTCGCGGAACAAAAAAAATACAAACAGATCTACGACGCCGCTGGGTGCGCAGTGGGCATTGTTTAAACCGAGGACGACGAAAAATGTTTTCGACATCATCTTTTTATGTCCTCTTACTTGGAAAATCTTTTATTATAACCCTAGTTGTTTTTTGTCTGCATTCGTTTTCTGGCTTTTGTTGTATTCGTGCACTTTTGTCTCGGAATATCAGATCCTAAGTAAGTAATTTACCCCCCTTTTTAAACCCGGTGTATTTACTAATTGCGAGAGGACCGCACAATACCGCGGATATTAACGTTCGAATGAAACGTTTAAAACCCTATTTTTGTGGACAAAAAAGAAATCTATCGACCATGTTGCCGCAATTACCCATTGCCCCTCCTCCTTTCCTTCCCACGACATTTTCGTCTTCGTTCTGATTACTTCAGTTTTTGATTTTTTAATGTTAACAAAAACATCATTCGTACTCACAGATTTGAAATGATTCAAAACAATTTCGAAATTTTCATCCTGTCTATATGTATGAAATCTTCTTCATCTGTTTGTCTATCTATGACTTGTCCCAAGCTACCTAATTTGTAACGATTACGAGTGGAAATGTTTGGAAGAGATTTGCAAAAAATTCAAAAGCCACATGTAAATATTATTACAAAAAAAAACATCTCATGTTGTCATACCAATGAAGTCAGTGGTTTGAAGGTAAATTTTTGTAACAGAAACATTAATGGTTTCCTTTTCGATTGGAAAGCGAATGCAGTTTGGTGATAGTGCCAACCTAGTGTTGCTGGGGAAGGTTTTTTTAAATCCCAATATGTCGGATATAATTCAGGAACATAATAGGACCCTAACATCAGTTCTAAATTAAGATGAAGTCTGCCTGGAACCTGGGGGTTGATCACCAAACATATTTCAAATTCAAGCCAAGTGTTCTTCCGCATCTTTAATCCTAAAAAACAAACAAAATAGCAAATATAAATTGAGAAAAACATAATGTTTTTATAATGTAGCTCTGTGAAGAGCAAGGAAATGGGATTTTAATTCTATATTAAATAGAAGGAATGCGCCAAAATGAGTACAACTGGAGGTAATGGGTTAAATTGTTTAATAACCGTAGACGCATCTTAATACGTGACCCCTACCCAAACCAAAAAAATTAACATAAACGCCAACCAAAATAAACGCATTAATAACAATTAAAGGTCTTTGACAGTTCGAAGCCCTTATGTATCCCATATACATCAATTTAAATATAGATCTTTTTTAATAGTTTTATCTGGACCGAGATGAGGGTATGCCACGTATTTTCGTATTGTACCATGCGGCGTGTGCACCATTATTTAAATTTGTACCAAACAAAACTCATTGTGATGGTTTTGTTTTGATTTAGACGTTTCAAACCGAAAGGGTGCTTACCTGGGATATCTTCCGTCTACAAAAAAGATCCCGAGATGTATCTTGACCTGAGATCCATCTGATAAGCTCTTTGTTGCGCGTGTCTGTGGTTGAATGTGCACAATGACCGTGGTCTATATCTATAGTGTAACACAGAAAGAAAAACAAATACGTATAAACATCGTCGTAAAAACTGGGAACATATAAGTAAATTGACTTTATTTTGCGTAAATTTAAATACATTTTATTCGTTAAAATTGGCTTGAAATATTTCTATTAAATAAAATTTATAATGATCTAACTTCTTGGAAAAGCGCATGCAAATTGTTATACTCAAAAATTCTTTTCTTCTTTTCTAAAACTTTAAAAAAGAATTATATTGGTCAGAACGTAGCAGTATATATTTTCAGTATATTTTCCCAAATATTACTTTATAAAGGTCTCAAAATTCAATTGTATGGGATGCGTCTGTAATTTTTAAACCATTAAAGATACAGGTTCGTTCAATGAAGCAGCTACCAAAATGAAGTTAGGAGAGGTGGACTAAGTAATATTTTACGAAAACAAAATTTTTGGATTTTAGTATTTCCTTCCGAACACATTTATTTAAAATAATACAAACAAAAAAGTTATACAAAAGATTTAGTGTTCGAAATAGGGTTTCTCGGAATTCATTTATTTTGTCTACAGGATGTTCGTATTTTGAACTGCTATACTAACATTCAACCAATATTTTTTTATTTCAAAATAATATTTAACTATATGCTAACAATAAAATAAAATTAATGTTATGTATTATTTTTATTATCATATTTATATAACCAATAAATAAAGGTTCACCATCTTTAAAAATGTTTATTACCAGCTTGAAATATCAGTGAGTATTCCACATTCACAAGATTGTCACAGTCGACAGTAGTCCAAATATATCGAACCACTTAGTTCAAAGAACAATAAATCAATAAAATGACTTCACAGAGTTGTCCGTTAACAATCTCTCTCTCTCTTCTCAATCGAATTAAAATTTGCCTCACAAATGCCATTTCGACCAGTTACCACGTTACCAACTTTTAGAAACGATAATGAATACTCTGTTTTATAAATAAACATATTGCTCACTCGGAAACTTGTTAGCAACTGTGTAATAAAAATGCGAAATTACAAATCATAATTCCTAGTTTTGTATTTTTATTTCAGTAAAAAATAGATGTATATTAAAATGCGGTGGGTATTAATGGAATAAGTGTTAGCTGATACTAAAAAACTTTTTTAATTTTACACAATGTTTTAGACAGCTAGATCACTGTTATGTTTCTTAGAGATTCAACACTAACACATGGTCTCCCACATAATTTCATTTTGAAAATTATTTACATTAATAATCCATAATTAAAACAATATAATTTAGTTTTGTAATCTGATGCCGCTAATATTTATTTGAGTTTCGTGGAAACTTACTTATTTTAAATGTCTTCGAGGCAACGCAAAATAAAAAAAGTAAAACTTTCGATATCACAAACATCATTGCAATCAGTTTGGCTGGACGATATTTGGCGCAGAATTAAAATTTATCTAAATGTTATTGCTGTAAAAGAAGACCGAAACTCGCTGGCTGGTTGCTCATTTCTCTCTTCTTGGACGATACTCGCTGGGTCTCGGTGGAAGGCTATAAGGGTCAGGGTCAGGTAAGGTCATTTCCCACGATAACCGCACGGCATAGCAACCTAAGTCTTCAGAATTATAATACCTACATGCTTACAAGTTCCGCACAGTGTAACTATAACACGCGAATATACACACATCATTATGTTACGCATTTTGTAGCCAGTTCGGATCGTTTTTTTACCAACGAACTTGTTCGATTCCGATTTTCTAAAAAGGCTTTCGTCCAAACGCGTTCGCGGCAATTTTTTAAAAAGTTATTGTCGTCGATACAGAACTGAATGTGATAATCGAACACCCGGCCTATAAAATATTTCAAGTTCATCGCCGTTTAAGTTGAAGACCTGTAACGAATAACGCACACCATCAATCACCAACTCCACCGCGCTTGTCTAAGATCATTTATATAACTAGTGACGTTTGAATTAACATTGATTGCTGTTCAAGTTTTTAATTTTTTTTTAACATACGTACATTTATTGTATTGTCATTTTAATGTCCAATATTGTACGAGAAATGGGCACTCGTTAAAATTTTCGAGTACCCACATAAATTTCCGAGATCGCCGCCAGATATAGCCCACGTTGGAGTTGGTCTCGTTTAGTATGCAACTTGGACGGTTTTTATGTAAAAAAATTGCTGTAATTTTTCTTGTTACGTACTGGTAAGACGCGCTCGGCTTTGAAGGTGTTCGTATGTCAAAACTGCCGCTAGCCTTGAATGAGATTTGAAACATTTTAGATCTGAAAACACGACAAAAATATGCCCGCGCTTATCGATAGACTAAATAAAAACAAAACCATAACTCCTTATAGATGTAATATCGAAACTGTTCAAATTCAAATTTTAGTTCATATCTTGAAGTACTAGATTAGCGTAAAAAATATTTGATAATAGTACCCCCAAACACTTATAGACGCATTAAGTAAATAAATAAAGCTGTGACATTAAAATACCACATATTTTAAAAATATTTTGAAGGAATATTTTTTCAGTCAGAAAAATTTTCAAAGAAAGTGGACAAAGCATTAAAATACCACCTATTTTTAAAATATTTTGAAGGAATATTTTTCCAGTATAATTTGACATTTTAATGCCGTTATTTAAGGGTTTTATCTCTTTCAGCCTTTTCAATACTCCCAAACACCGAATACCAACTCTCCCGGTAAAATCTGAAACACTCGCACCGGGCAGGCACATTTCCAAAAGCGGAAAGTAAATAAATAAAGCTGTGGACACATATTTGAAAAATATCTTAAAGGAATAGTTTTTTAGTCTAGTTTGGCATTTTAATGCTGTTATTAGGGGTATTATCTCTTTCACTAGTTCCAATATCCTCAAACATAAAATACAGCGACCCAACTGTCTTCGAAAATCTTCAAACATTCGCACCAGACAGAAACATTTCCATAGGCAGAAAGTGAGTCAATAATGCTGTGGACAATGCATTAAATACAAAATATTTTGAAAGAATACCTTTCCAGTCTAATTAAACATTTTAATGCCGTTATTTAAGGGTCCTTCCAATACTACCCAACACCGAATACCAACTATCCCGGTAAAATCTGAAACACTCGCAACAAACATTTCCAAAAGCGAAAAGTGAACTTGGCATTAACAGACCACATATTTTAAAAATATTTTGAAGAAATACTGGTTCAGTCTAATTTACCATTTGAATGCCGTTATTTAAGGGTATTATCTCTTTCACCAGTTGCAATGTTCTCAAGGTATTAAATACAAAACATTTTGGTAGAATACGTCTACATACATCCACAGTTACACAGTGACCTTTCAAGAGATGTGGATTTTGAAAAGAAAAAAAAAACAGAATTTCCGTTGGTTATGTATATAAACTTGAGATAAAATATAAAGCAGAACAGGGATTTTTTGATGTTATTCTGTTCCAGCCGTCCAAAGAGGTAGAGTACCGCCATCGCAACCAGCCTTACCGGGCTTACCAAATCAGTTCCTGAACTCTACCGACTCAGTGACGACATCCCTTAGCAACCACACGTACCTCAGCAGTTACATATCTCTATTGTTAAGGGCGGAACCGTACCCCACCAGCCGCTACGGTCAATGTATACAAGCGAACAACATTATGGGTATCGAAAATATCTGTGAACTAGCGGCTAGGTTGCTATTCTCTGCTGTTGAATGGGCTAGGAATATACCGTTTTTTCCTGATCTCCAAGTTACGGACCAGGTAATTCGTTGAGACGTGTTGAAAATCCACGTGATGTTAACTGACGATTTTTGATATAGGTGGCGCTTCTTAGGTTAGTATGGTCGGAACTGTTCGTATTAAACGCGAGTCAGTGTTCCATGCCTCTTCACGTGGCGCCACTGATCGCCGCTGCTGGCCTCCACGCGTCGCCTATGTGCGCAGACAGAGTCGTCCAGTTCATGGATCACATCAGGATATTTCAAGTAAGTATTTCTCTGTTATTAAATAATAAATTCGTAGATATTTCCGACACGTGTGCATTAACGGAAAATATTTGCTTAGTTTGTCGATGGACCAATGAATCTCTTTGTTGCAGGAACAAGTAGAGAAATTGAAAGCTCTACACGTGGACTCGGCCGAATATTCGTGTTTGAAAGCGATCGTACTATTCACGACAGGTGAGTTAAAAAAATGTAATTTGTCCACATGATGTTCGTTCGAAACCCGGCCTTATAATTATACATGAAATTTATGAACAATAAGCCGAAGGTGCGAAGTTCTCATCTGCCACAATAAATGTATTGTCTTGCACTTTCATTGGCAAGATAACGGTCCGATAAACAAGTGCATTGTTAAAATTGTATGCGACGTGGTGACCATTGTGCCCGCAGCCTCTGTTATCTAGTTTGGGTCTATCCTCTTTACGCGGACATTTTATGTCACGGCCTTAGTTTTATCTCAACGTAATACCAGTGAATGGGTATACCCCTGCATTTAATACGCTCAATAAAATTCGTTAAATGTTGATTTGATATAATGCCACCTATGTATTTTCACTTTACGCGAGCGGGAATATTTTTTTTATAAAAGGCAAGCAAATTAATGCCATATAATAATTTGTTCAGAAAAATGAACAGCAAAATTAGCATTTTTAAAAAAAACCTAAATGAAACGCCTCTTTGCTAAAAGTTTATCCCGTGAAAGTTTGTTTTTTCTTATGATTTCTTATTAACGTGGACGTCAGTCGTCGAAAATGATTGCTATTTATCGTAAGGTATAATTTATGGTCTTATCATAATATTTAATGTTTAATTAGTAAAGCTTAATGTTGGTTTTATCAGAATATTAGCCGCATTTACGATAATCAAGCGGGTTTATTGCAAACTGATAAATTGTTAGCTCAAAAAACATCATGACGGGCAATTTGAAAGATATTTCTTAAACGTAAATCAAAATTAATTAGAACACATCTATAAATCAGTCCTATACTTGCAGATAGTTTTGCATTAAATAAAAAAAAAACGTTCTAATATATTTGATATATTATATGAATGGAAATTTTTTTTTTCAAAAATAGTGGTTAAAGTGGCACTGGCGCGCCGCTGGTATTCATAATTATTTCTAAATTAACGTTTTTTCGGAGTTAATAATAACTACAAAATTTCAACAAAATCAACATGTTATTTTTAAAATTAAAGTGTTTATGATGAGCCTGGCAAAATTATACTTAAATGTTCGATTGTTGTGAATAATTATCAATAAATCAACCCGGAGATGAGAAAATCAAAGTTTTAGTATCACAATTTTTTTTCCAATTTCGTGCATCAATGCGAATATTAAGAAAAAAAAAGCAATTCTCCAATCTTTTTTGCGTAAAAAATGTGTACTTTGTTCAACTCTCTATAGGAGAAAACCTTCAGGTCTACAAAATTACTTTTTGACAGATATTTTTATTTTGAAAACCGATTTTATATATGCGTAAGTTTTTCTTTGCAAATATTAAAGGGAAAAAAAGATATTTCTCAAATAATTTATATTTTTATTCAGTAAAAAAAGTGGAATCCTAGTTAAAAAAAAGAGTGAAAAAAACTTTACTCAGACTTTTTTGAGGAAAATCTTCGTCTTTTTGCCCGAAAGCTGCGTTGTCCGGCTGTGTGTGTCCATTTCCTTAATGTCCTGGTGAAACCTCTCTTCCTGTTTTTCACTGCTCCAAGATTTTCGAAAAAATGGTTCAAGTGAGGAAACAGGAAATGCACCTTCAAACTCATATTACAATCTAGGCAAATTTTCTAATTTTGAAACTAAGTCAGGAATATTGTTGCAATACATGCGCGGCCCTTCCTGAGTAAAATAAAGAGCATAGACGCTAACAATTCGGATGCATCTTTTGGAAAATGCAAATCTCTAATTAAATCATTTAATTCTGAGTCATTTGGGTTGGAATTAGATTTCTCTGATTCTGACGATATGGCGTTATGGCGCTTTCTAGTTGTTTTGGGGCGGTATCTATCGGTACGTCTGGTCCATAAGGAACTGGTCGAGTAGCAGGGTCAAGATTGGGATTCTTATTTTTCTGTTGAATCTTTGAACATTACACGAACACAAATAACAATTATACTAAAAGAACAAAAATGCTTAAACATTAAACATTAGTTATAGTTATAGTTATAGAACACTAAAAATACGCAACAACGAAGATAACAGCCGCGAACACAGTAGCACGACGACCAATACAACCGAACTGCGCATAAGTAGGTTACAATGCTGTATTGACGCTTCTGCGCGAACTCTGTTGCCAATGTTGCCAAATCCCATTTAACTTCATAAAAATCAATTCATTTAAAAATCATGCCTAAAATGGACCAAACATATGCACGTCATAGTTATGTGTGTTAATAAATTAATATTTTTAAGATATAGAACGCTATAAAAAAAAGACGTGATAGAGCAAAAATATGGCGCTTTTGGAAAAAGGGCTTCCAAAAATATACAAATAAGCAAACAGCTTTCAGACATCAAAATCACTGTAGACCTGTGTTTATTAGAATCAAAAGATAATAAATCTTTTAACTACCTAATTTAAGAAATATTAGATGCTAATGTTTAAAAGTAATTGTAATTGTAATTTAAATGGAGCTTTAGTTAAAAACGGTCAGCTGTTTTCTGAACATTGATAACCTGTATTATTCAAAATTTCATTGAAATGCCCATTAAATAAATCTGTCAGCCAACGAAATTAGAAGGAGGACAGTTTCAAAATCCAGAGTAACTGCGAGTAGCAGTCCATGGAACCCGAAAGCGAAGATATCCCGTAAAAATGAGATCAATCGAAACGAAAAAGGTATAGCGAATCAAATCTCGGAAGTGAGGTCGTGGGCCACAGTACCACCGCGGCGAGAATTTTGCAACGAAGATGTGTTTTGTAACAACAGTGTTCTCTGCACGATCTCAAGTGGTACCACGCCAGTTCCGGTATTCACCGTGTCAGTTTCTATCTACAGGTACTCTCTTCACCGGGCCCCGAGGTGAAGAGGGAAGAGGCAAGAAGCCCGCGGCTCTCCCTGCGCGGGTCGCACTTCGCAACTTTCCAGTGGTGTAGCGACCAAACCTTAAATCAAATTGCGGCCACACTCGCGCTTTGGTTAAAACTATTATTTGCTTAGACTGACTTTTACTTGATGAAAATCCACTTAACACAATTAAATTAGATCAAAAAATGTCCAGATTTTCAGTTTTTAATGATTTACACCTGTTCCGGCAAACACCGTGCGTTTATCAAATACAAAATATGACAATATTGCGACACCTATATATATATATATATATATATATATATATATATATATATATATATATATATATATATATATATATATAAGCAGGTAGTAAGAGGTTTTCAAAACTCTATTTCTACCTGCTTATATATGTAATGGCACGGAGTTGCCGAAACAGCTGTCATAAATCATGAAAAACTGTGAAAATTTGAACATTTTTTTGTTCTAATTTAATTGTATTATTTGGTTATTCTATCTAATTATCCCACTTTGCCAAAAAACAAATAAATCTTGAAAAACATTTTTTTATAACTACTCATAAATTATTTCAAAACAGGAAAATTTACTTTAGAATCTGCAGTCCCTGAATTAAACTTCAATATATAGGTTGAAGTTTTTTTATGATTTGTAGTTATATTTTAGTTATTGGTTTTGAAGCGATCGGATGTTTTCGATTGATTTTAGCCACTGGTGGCATTTTGATGATCACTTCACACGCCCCTCAGTTTTTCAATTCTGGCGGTCACGTCACAATCCACTTAGTAAGGGAACTAATGTTATTTTGCACAAAATAAATAGAGAAAAAAGTCACCAATTATAGCGTAGTGTTTCACTTTCATTCATTTATTTTAGCAATAACGTTTCTGAATTATAAGGCCGAGAATAATAATAGATGAAAATCATTTAAAACATTTTTTTTATAAAAACCTAGGAAAAAAATAAAGAAAAATCAAGCAATACAATTATAATTTTTAGCTCATGCATAGGAAACTCCATGTGGTGACCTCGGGGAGAGCCCTTGAAGAGGACAAAGTAAACCTTTAAACCATTTATAACCTGCACACTCCCATGTTGTGTGAAACTGATTTTTTTTGTTTTATTTTCTTGACACAAAGAAGATGCCATTTTGCAAAAGTGTCTTTGTAAAACAATAAAATTTTCTTATATAAACGAAACCCGAAACACAAACCTACCTAATGTTAGCCCGTAGATAACAAATTGTATTTAAACAAAATAGCTTTAATAAAGAACCAACTGAAATTGACAACTGATTGATTCGTGGCTTTCTTATTAAGTGGTAGGTACTATGGTCTTATAATATAGATGTTACCCCATTGACTTCAAAATGACCTATAATGGGCAACACTTCCCACGTTGATGAATTTCTTCAGTCGCTCGCTTGTTAATCACTAGTGACTAAAAATGACGTTTATTAAAGTATTAACTATTTTATTTTAACATCCATGGCTTTATAGACGAACCAATTAGAGAGAAACTCTTTTCATTTATTGTTTAACAAAACGCGAGCGAAAACTAGCCCGTTACGCCACTGGTCAGCAGTGCTTCTTCTGGCCGACGATATGCCCTCAAGCCGGGTACCATCGAGAAGTCACGACCTTTGGTAACCCAACTTGCTTACCAAATTCACACACGCGAAGCCTGGCTCACATTGTACAACAAACTCTTTCAAATAATATTCCACTTTTACCGCGCCAAAGCGCTTGTTCGTTTTCGCGATTTCGTAAATTTCCGTGTAACATTTTTAATCGCCCCCGTATATCGCAAAAATGGCCGCATTCGTGAAAACGCGACGATGCGCGTATTCTCAATAGTGCTGACATAAATAATTCCGATATCGGAGCTGAAACCCGTGATTTGGAGCAATCCATGCATATAATATTGTTAGCTACGTCGAACGGAGTGAGATTTATTAAGTGTTAATAGAAAGTTCAACGTTTTATCGAATTAGGCGCTTTTGAAAGTCACATTTGGTAAATTTCGGTAATTGCTAATCTGGAGAGTTTAATTCTTTGATATGTTAATCGGATTGAATGCCTAAAACAATTGCCGTTTCATTAAATAAGCATAAACCCGTGGCATGGTATTTACTATAAAGCGGCTAA